AACTGGAAATAGAACTGTTATGTGATTCTTTTTTTAGATCACATATATAAACAAATTGAATAAATATATGTTTTCCTGGAAATCAAGAACAAATAATGCTGCAAATACACAATGTCGTGAAACAAAAGTAAACTTAGAAAAAACGAAATCTAAGTAAAAATTAAGCAGATGTATCCCATCTCAGAGTCATTTAAGGCGAAAAAACTCGTGATTTTCATAATACTATCAGCAAATCTTTTTTTCTCTTTATTTTTACCTTGGAGGCATAAGTATAAGTAGAGAATATGTTTTACCATTTTCAAGATCGTCACAGCCTGTCTGGCACCAGATCGTTTCAAGTTGCTCATTTCCAAGACTCGAACCGCTGTTTAAGCGTTGCAATGCCGACGACCGCCTAGCGAGGTCGAGCGCAATCGCAGGCCGCGCGCGTTATGAGGGCGTCGTACATACCCCAATTATAGTGCTCCTTTTGTGTTTTCCGTCGACGGTCTTCGAAGTGAGTCGCTTTTCTCTTCAGTGATGTTTATAAACACTCAGCGCTTCGACTCAATTAAATCACAACCTTTTCATCGTTGTAGAAGTCGCGGAATTACTGTACAGGAACAAATCATTTCTAAGCAGTGCGGTATAGGAAACATTGGCCTATCTAATAAAGTCTTTCCTCTATACGAAGTGGCACATCCTTTTCAACATCGACTTGTGTTGATGACGGTGAAAGTCATGCAAAGACAACTAGCAGTAAACGGTAATTAGTGACAATTCCCTTTCTTAAAATCTGGTAAAAGTCTCGCCGTTTCGACTCATCTCTTTCGTCCGGGCCGAAAACATGCCACAAATAACGCTCTGTGAGCTAGTGAATTTCATGCGATATTTCCTGGTGTTCCATAGTTTTAACTCTGCACGCGACGTTCTCCTCTCTCTGAAAAGGCCTTTTGAATGGCTGCTGCATTTAGGTGCCGATCTAACCTTCCGACTCGCCTCTTGATTACGCCAGTGCCCTTCCCCGCTCGTTCCGCCCACCGCCTGCAATGTGGAGGGGGGGGCGTTGCTCGTGTAGCGTCACGCTGCTCTCGTAATCCCGGCAGCGCCCTTCTGCCGGCGCCGCCCTCTAAACACCGAGTTAAATCAGCCTCCGCGTTTAAAAGCGCTTTACGAGCGCAAGCGGCTGCCGCGGGGCCTTTGGTCGCCTGTGGGAGCCCACGGCGATGACGCTCAAATCATTCCGCTCTCAGCTAGCGAAACCTTACCAATGTGCTATGTGATATTTTAATACGGATGCTGGTTTGTGTGGAACACGATTTCTTCAGCTTGGGCGGAATATTCTATTCATTTAGAAGGAATCCAGATAGTCATTCATGGACAATGCACCATGAGGCAATGCTCGTGAATGCAAATCTACGTTGATTTAACATGAATATCAGATTCTGTTATGAAGAAAAGAAATACGCGAAATATATTATTCTAAAAAGAAAAGCAATGGGCACGTTTTGGGGGTAAATAGACGTTTTGGAAGTTTAAAGGAAATATGAGGTTAACAATTTCTTTCTTGATACAGTAGTAGATTATTGCTAATTGTACGTTAAAATGTTTCAAAGCATTGTTTCAGCTACTTCTTTTGATAACGGTGAAACTCATATAAAGGCAACAGGCAGCAAACGGCAATTAGTGACACACTTTCCTTCCTTAAAATCTGTTAAAAGTGTCACTGTTTCGACTCATCTCTTTCGTCTGAGCCGAGGAACAAGCCGCAAACGACGCTTTGTGAGCGCTTGGACTGTTTTCACTCCGCACGCGACGTCTTCCGCCCAGAGCGCGCTCCCGCGAGGAGGACGTGTGCGGCGGGCGGGGCGGCTGCCAGCGCGGGGCCTGTCCCGCGGGTCGAACAGAGCACCGAAGCGGAGTGCGCGCATGCCCTGCGCCCGGCCCGGGGCCTGGCTTCGATCCCCGGCCTGCGCCGCGACCACCCCGCGCCCTGCACC